TCTTCTGAACTGTTTTCATTTAATCGGGTTAATCAAACCCAGGGAGACTGCACCTAGATATAGGCAATAAGGCTGTTTACATAATAGGCAGATAATAAAGATACACAGAAAGATTACATAGACCTATGCGATTATGCGGTATGGGAAAAGGGGGAGCAGCAGCAGGCAGTGAACCATAACTAAGTGCTAGTCCTGTCCATATACTGCTAAATGCAATGACAGTTTTATTGCTTGATAACTTAACACTATGATATGTTATCCCCACAATATGAATACAACACATAGACAGGATTGAAATAAATGGGTTCAGAGGGAACCTGACCACAAAGGTACCAACTATGAACATAAATTGTGTCTATTCTGCTCCTACCACTTCAACCGACCCTCTATGCAGTGAGCAGGCCATTTGACACCACCCAGCGAATGTTTGAACTACGGTGAGCACTTACATGAGCATTATTTTATTTAATCCGCACAACTGCCCTTATCTTCATCTCAGAGAATACGAAGCTGAGGTGTAGAGAAGTGAAGCAAACGTACCCAATATTTGAAGTGGATATGTCTGTTCTATCATTCAATACACCTGCTAACCTCCATGATTATCCAAGAAAATGTGTATAAAAACACCTTGTGGCACATTGAAACTTATCAATTAATATTATAAAATCAGCTGAGGCCAAAAAGAATTTCTTTAGAATTCAATACAGCAATCATAATATCATTTCGTAAATATTTACGTTTTTGTATCAAGCCTTATCTCGTCGTCTTCACACAAGCCCTGGGGTAAGGTCTTACTCTAATTTTCACATGTTAAATCACACGTGTTTTTCTGAAACGCTGTTAAAATGGCTATGACAAAGCAGCATCAGCTAAGGAGATGCTTCCAGTATATAGGTGAGCAGAAAACGCGGGAGCCGGGGGCACTTCCCGGGTCTCAATGCCGGGCACAGCCCAGCCACACCTGGGCGGGTGGAAGAGGGAAAGACACATGGTTTCAAGAGCAATGGAGCCATTACTTTGCTGAACTTGGATGTAGGAATAGCGCTGCGTTTTTAGAGTCCTACGAGGGAGCTGCACATGCTATGCAGTCCAGGCTCAGCACTGCTAGATGCGCTAGGGCCTCCAGCACCATGAATTCTGCCTTGAGCGTCCGGGTAGTTGTTGGAAAGAGGGCTCGCGCTTGTCTGCATACAGAGCTTTAGGGTTGATCGCTTTCTCCCGGGTGACGGCGATAGACCTTATTACAACCAATATGAAAGGCCATTTGTTTCATTTGTTCTGCAAACGTTTATTGAGCGCCTGCCTTCCATTTCCCGATATACATAACGCTGCAGCCACAGCCAGAAAGAACCAGCGCCCGGGGGCGTTCGCCTTGTAACCTAAGGCGAAGCCCGCAGCCACAGCGCCAGAATGCGCGCGCCCGAGGGCTGCCCTGCCCCACGCACGAGCGCGCGCGCAGACACACACACACACACACACACACACACACACACACGCACGCACGCACGCACGCGCGCGCGCGCGGGAACGCCGGGTTCCCGCGTCCCCGGCGCTGTCCTGGCGCTGGGAGCAGGCGGGAGCTCTGGTCGGAGCGGAAGGCGGGAGCTCCAGGCGGGGCGGGTGCCCGGGAGCCGCGCTCGTGCATGCGCTTCTCGGCTCCCTAAGCCCCGCCCCCGCCCCGCCCTCCCCTTCTCCCGCGCGCGGGCTCCGCGCGCCCCGAGCCGCGCGCGTGCGCGCGCGTGCGCAGGCCAGGGCCCTCCGGGGCGGCCCCGTAGGCTTCAATGAAAGCGTCGCCAGGTCCCGCGGTTAACCCTTTCCGGGCTCGCCCGTGTGGAGGCCCCGTCTGGTTCCGTGCCTGCGCAAGCCGGCGGCGCGCCTTCCCCCTCGCCCGCACCGCGCATGCACGGGAAAGGGGGGGTGCCAGTGGGGGTTTTTCAAGGCCGGCTAGACATTCTGTGCTCGTGCTGGAGGAGGGCTGCTACCATCAGGGACGTGCACGGTGCCCCCCCCACCCCGCCCTCTCCCCAAACTCTAAAAAAAAAAAAAAAAAAAAAAAAAATCCAAAACACACTGCCACCCACCGTGCCCCCCGCGCCCCGCGTCCATCCCGTCCCTGGCCTGCGTGCAGCGAGCGCGGGGAGCCCACGGCGAGTGTGTGTGGCTGTGCCAGGCTGCAGGTAAGCGCGGGCCGGGGGTGCGGAAGGGGCCCGGACCGTCCGCGAGGCGGGCGCGGGGGCGGCGGGCGGCCGGCGGGGCGGCCCGGAAGCGCGCTCTCGCAGTGCTCCGGGGCACCAGCCAGCGCCGGGGTGTGCGGGCGGCCGGCGGCGGCGGCGGCGCGGTGCGAGCGGGGACGGGCGTGGGCCGGGGCTGGGCCAGGCGCTCCGGGGGCTGCGCGGGCGGCGAGCGGAGCTGGGACAGCAGCCGGGCGGCCCCGCGCGCGCGCGCTCGCCGAGCCGGGCGGCGGCGGAGTTCATGGCCGTCCTCGCTCGCTCGCTCGCACCTCCGCGGCGCTCCGCGGGGAGGGCGGAGACGGCCCGAGCCCCGCCGGCGCCGGGTGAGGCCCGCCGGGCGCCGCCCCTCGGAGCCGGGGACCCCGCCGCACCTCCCCCGCCCCGCGGCCCGCGGAGGGGGCCGGGACCCTCGCGCTCGCACTCCCGGGTGCGCCCGCCGAGCGAGCTCGGGGAGCCGGCCGCGCGCCGCCCCCGCCCCCGGCCGCGGGAGGGCGGGGGAGGGCCGGGCGCGAGCCGGCCGGGGAGTGCGCGGGGCGCGGGCGCGGGGCTCGCGGGCAGCACGGGGCGCGGCGCGGCGCGGGGCTGCGGAGCCGCGGAGCCGGCCACACGCCCGCTCCCGCCGCCGGGACCGCCGCGGGCTGCGCCGCCCGCGCTCGGAGCCCGAGGATGAGCGGGAAGGCGGCCTCCTCCCTTCCCTGCTCCCCGGCCGGCGGCGCTTTTGTTGGGGAAGGAGTACAAAGCCCCCCGCCGCCCAGGGGGCAGGGAATGGGAGCGAGGCCTGGAGAAACTCGGAAGGCCCCTCGATGGCTCTTCTTGCTCTCTCTTCTCCCTCTCCCCTCCTCCCAGTTGCGAGCTTTGGACGGGGAAGTCGGGCCGCCGCCATAGTCGTGGCTGTTCAGGGTAGGGAGGCGGCTGCCGCTACTTATGTAAGTTTGGCTTCGCGGGGCTCCCGCTCCCTGGTCGGCGCGCCATTGATTTGGAGAATCTTAATAAAAGGGCAGCTTTGGTGTGGAAGTGCAATTAGTAGGGCTACAGGTCTCACCGCCTACACATAACAGGCAATGGGTATCTTCACCTGAACTTAGCCATTGGAAGATCTCAGTAGAAAAAAGTGGCCGAGAGAGAGAGAGAGAGAGAGAGAGAGAGAGAGAGAGAGACACCAAATAACATCCTAGCCAAAAAAAGGGGGGCATCAGCAGACTGATGTGTATGGCCATTCCTCTCCCTGCCTAGTCCGTGCCCTGTTATCCCACAAGCCAGAGGATGAAGGTAGTGGCAGCAGTGGGAAGTGATGAGACCCCGTAGGAAGTGTGGCCTGGCCAAACTTTCTTTTGGGGGTGACTACAGACCATGTTCCATTTAAGGAACAAAGTCAGAAGCATCCCTAGAAGTAATTTTGCCCAAGCCTCACCCTGATTGCTGTGTTTTGCTTTGGGGAACTTTTTTTGATAGTTTTCAGGATTTGGGTCTCTTGGTTTGTGTCTTGCACCACAGTTTTTGGGTCAGACTATTGCAGCCCAGCCCCTTGGTCTCACCCTATTGAAGTCTGTGTGATCACTGTTCGGTAGAAGAAACTTTTTGTATTTTTCAGGACATTGGTCTGCAGGATGGAGTCCCTCTGGTAAGACTTAAAATTAAAAAGCTAGAATTCTGCCCTACCTGGTTTGGCTCAGTGGATAGAGCATCGGCCTGTGGACTGAAAGGTCTCAGGTTTGATTCCAGTCAAGGCACATGTCCAGGTTGCAGGCCCAATCTCTAATAGGAGGTGGCCAATCAAAGATTCTCATCATTGATGTTTCTCTCTCTCCCTCTTCCTTCTTCTCTGAAATCAATAAAAAAATAAAAGGCTGGAATTCTGCCAAAACCGGTTCAGTCCACAGAACTCAGTGGATAGGGCATCGGCCTGTGGACTTAAAGGTCCCGGGTTCGATTTCAGTCAAGGGCATGTACCTTGGTTGCGGGCACATCCCCAATAGGGGGTGTGCAAGAGGCAGCTGATCAATGTCTCTCATCGATGTTTCTAACTATCTTTCTCTCTTCCTCTCTGTAAAAAATCAATAAAATAAAATTTAAAAAGCTGGAGTTCTTTGAGCTTCTCTATAGGGATACAGGTGAAAACACCTGGATTTCTCAAATGCAGATTTAAAGACCAATGTAGCTTAAATGATGAGTGCTACATTCAAAGTGTGGAAAGAAGAAACCAGCTACTGTTCCCTCTCCTCCAATGTTAACTGTTGGGTACATGAGCTTCTATAACTTTCTCTGTATCTATAAGTACATATTCACATATACACTCTATCTGAGCCTAGAGAAAAATGTGGAGGGCCACATACCTAGCAGGAAATGGCACGGGGGAGGGGCACTTTCTGGCTTTTTCTGACATCTGTGTAGCTATCAACATCTGTAAATGGTCTTTGTGAGGAGAAATTCTTTAGTGGCTTTCCAACACACACTCTGCGCACAGCCCCTGCACACTCCAATGCTGCAGCCCTTACCTGTTCTGCTTCAAGTCTGCTCAGAGCCGGACCTGATGCTGCCAGCCACCCTCCTCTCTGTTCCCAACCTGAAAATGGGTACATGTGCAAGTGGCAGGACAAGAAAGGAAAGTTTATTTTTTTTAAATATTCTTATTTAGAATTTGGGATAGAGGAAGATTCTATCTTATTCTTGTGTGTCCTTTTCTCTTGTAGGATTGGCACGCCCCTGATCAGTTATTCTGATCTGAAGAATTTAGTGTTTCAAGCATTAAGACAATAGCCTGAGTTGTTCATGGTAACTATAACTTTGGATGTTAAATCTTGAAAATATGGTTTGGTGTTTGCTTTAAGGACTATATACACATATTTTTTTGTGTGTGTGTGTGTCTGTGTGTGTGTACACAGCTTGTGTGTGTGTGTGTGTGTGTGTGTGTGTGTGTGTATACACACATATAAACTATGTGTTCGGACTTTTCTTTCTCCCCCATTTATACTTGCTGAATGAAAGGCAAACAATATTTTTAAAAGAAAACATAGAATACATTATTAAAAGGTCATTTTCTGTGACATTATGACAGATGTCTTTTGTGCCAGTTTTAATTTTTTTTGCTTGCAGCACTTGTCAAGTACATCCATCTCAATGACATTTTTGTCTGGATGGCAGATAGATTGGTATCGAGAGGGAATGAAACTGATCATTTTGAGAGTCATATTAAACCTTAACCCTCATTCAGAAGTGGCCCAAAACTGGTATGGAAAAGAGAGAAGACAACACCAAATGGAATATTTTGGCAGTGATATATATCCCTTTCTAGTTCTGCTACAGTGACTTGTCACTTCTGCCTAGGAAATAGAACATTGAATGCTGTTAGTTATCTTACTGAAGTAACTAACAGTGAAATTAGACTATACACAACATACATGACTGATGATGTTTGCCTCAGAATCCTTTTTCAAACCGTGAAACTGAGTTATTTGCCTTTATTAACTCTACTTGTCCAGAAGCACAGGTTTTGGAGCTAGATTGCCTGTATTTAAGTCCCAGCTCTCCACTAAAAAACTACAATATTGGGCAGGTTCCCATCATCATCTCTGAAATGGAGATAGTAATACCTATCTCAGAGGTTTATTTGATCTTTACATTTGCGAAGAGGTGGAAAGCACATAGAACAGTACTTAGCATGTATTATGTGCTCAGTAAAAGTTGGCTATCATTATAACTAGGCAAATACTTAGTAAACCGAAGATAAATAGAAATAACAATTTGGAAATCCCTAAGTTGGGATGTCTTTTCCTACTCAGACTCTTGAACCACTCCTAATGACTTTCTGAAATTGTTAGGTACCAAAAAATTGATTAGAAAATGAAAATCTACCTGTATTTTCTGTGTGGAAAAATGTTATTCATAATTATCAAACTTTCTTTTTAAAACTTTTTTTGTAGGAGTTTTTCATCAGTATGTCTGAAACCATTAAATATAATGACGATGATCATAAAACTCTGTTTCTGAAAACACTAAATGAACAGCGCCTGGAAGGGGAATTTTGTGATATTGCTATTGTGGTTGAAGATGTGAAGTTCAGAGCACACAGATGTGTTCTCGCCGCCTGCAGCACCTACTTTAAAAAGCTCTTTAAGAAGCTTGAGGTTGATAGCTCTTCAGTAATAGAAATAGACTTTCTTCGTTCTGATATATTTGAAGAGGTCCTGAACTACATGTACACAGCAAAGATCTCTGTGAAAAAAGAAGATGTTAACTTAATGATGTCATCAGGTCAGATTCTTGGTATCCGATTTTTGGATAAACTCTGTTCTCAGAAGCGTGATGTATCTAGTCCTGATGAAAATAATGGTCAGTCAAAAACTAAATACTGCCTCAAAATAAATCGTCCCATTGGAGATGCTGCTGACACTCAGGATGATGATGTGGAAGAAATTGGAGATCAAGATGACAGCCCATCGGATGACACTGTAGAAGGCACACCCCCCAGTCAGGAGGACGGCAAGTCGCCCACAACTACACTCAGGGTTCAGGAAGCGATCTTGAAAGAACTGGGGAGTGAGGAAGTTCGAAAAGTCAATTGCTACGGCCAGGAAGTAGAATCCATGGAGACCTCGGAATCGAAAGATTTGGGGTCTCAGACCCCTCAAACCTTAACATTTAATGATGGAATGAGCGAGGTGAAGGATGAACAGACACCAGGCTGGACAACCGCTGCCAGCGACATGAAGTTTGAGTATTTACTTTATGGCCACCATCGGGAGCAGATTGCCTGTCAGGCGTGTGGTAAGACATTTTCTGACGAAGGCAGATTAAGGAAGCACGAAAAACTCCACACAGCAGACAGGCCATTTGTTTGCGAAATGTGTACAAAAGGTTTTACCACACAGGCCCACCTGAAAGAACACCTAAAAATCCACACAGGATATAAGCCCTACAGTTGTGAGGTGTGTGGAAAGTCATTTATTCGTGCCCCGGACCTAAAGAAGCACGAGAGAGTGCACAGTAATGAAAGGCCGTTTGCATGCCACATGTGTGACAAAGCCTTCAAACACAAGTCCCACCTCAAAGATCATGAACGAAGACACAGAGGGGAAAAGCCTTTTGTGTGTGGCTCATGCACCAAAGCATTTGCCAAGGCGTCTGATCTGAAAAGGCACGAGAACAATATGCACAGTGAAAGGAAGCAGGTTACCCCCAGTGCCATCCAAAGCGAGACAGAACAGTTGCAGGCAGCAGCGATGGCCGCCGAAGCGGAGCAGCAGTTGGAAACGATAGCCTGTAGCTAGAGGTGATGGGACACGAACACTTTGCCTGAGCCGTGGGGACTGAGATTTCATTGTTTGTAATAAATGAACAACAGTCACTGTATTTTTTTTTTTTTTTTGAAAACTTATGGAACATTGTACTCATTGGACCGAAGGCAGTGCCCGTTTAGGTATTTTTAAAAAATTTTAAAGAAAATAACCTTCCTTGTTTCTGACCAAACCGTTTCACTGTCCTGTCTGGTGTCTAGTATTAATGTTGCCAGTAAGTCTTGCCCCTTCTCTCTTTTTATGATTTTAATTTGAGGACTCCTGTATCCAGTTCGGAAGTTAGAGACTTCTGTTCCAATTTTTACTATCTCTCTCTACTTGCACTGGTGAATGCACTGCACAGAGTGATAATTGAGTAAGTTGATTTCCTAATCACAATTATATATGACTTTCGGTCAAAGCAGCATATTTAGAAACTCCAAGTACTTCATGTAGATGCAGAAAATACTGGGGGGTGGCTGACCAAGAACACTGCGCAAATATGAAAACAAGGCCTGGAAATGTAGAATGGTCTTAGGTTTGTATTGATTTATTAATTTTCTATCACTGTCTTTTTTCAGTTTTTGTGGACAAATAATGAATGGTTGCTTTGCTGAAGTGTTTCTTCATCCATTTTGATTGACCATACCTAATCCAAAAGATGTGATTACAAGTCCCCAAGGCTGAACAAATCCATAGGGATATTGGTGATTTGGTGGCCGAGTTCCTTCATTCCTCTTATCTGGGGCATTACTACTCTGAAATTAAGTGGGGTGAGTGGAGTGGACCACTGCTAAGAGGATTAGAAAGCAGTGACTAGGAATCTGGCTCTGAGAGACAAGGTTTTCACATATGCAATAATTCTAAAATTTTCTGGATCAAAATACATCTTAATTGATTTTGAAATTAGGGCAAGAACAGGTATACATTCTCAAACATTTGTGTAACAGACTGTTATCAAACTTTTGGGTTCTCTGTAGCACAAGATTTATCCGTAAAGGAGATGCAATATCGTGACTTAAATTAATACATTTAAAATCTTTAAAGTGTGTAAATAAGTATAGAAGTGTTGGTCTTACATATTTCAAGGGAAGTAGACAGTTGCACTTTTTTTTTTTTTTTTGCACATTGAATAAAATAACTTCTATCAGCAAGAAACATCAGTCTGTTGTTAACCAATATTAAAGAGTGTCAGACCAAATGTTTATGTTTTTGAAGTATATTTCATCACTGGCTACAGTTTTAAGTAGAGTTGATTGCCTTTTCATAGATGTAAGAATTTAAATGCTGTTCCAGTTTTGGTATATGAAAGATTTTTAAACCATTTATTTAGGAATATATTGAAATATCAATAATAGTTTGAATTATGTTCTATAATAAAGCATTAGTCAATTATTTTAGAATGTACAATTTTAGAAAAATGTTGACTTTTAAAATTTATTTTTGGTTGCTAGGTTTTGTTTTTTTAAGAGACATTAAAATAATTGCATTTCATGGCTTGTTGCATTAACACCTATAATTACTACTGTGGGAGAAATTTTATTTTTTAAATGGTGTATATGTTATACCCAATACTGTAGAATGAAGATGCTACCTTTTAAGAAACATATTTATTGGTAAAGTGTTTGATTTAGTTTAAAATTAATTTAATTTCTTTTCTTAACAGTTGTTTTTTCCATCTTAAAGTAGTGCTGTCACTGTTTATATGCTATTAGTGGATGGGAAATTGATTGACATTCCTACGCTGTTTTAACCAAAGCAAAAGAAAAATAATTTCACATCTGGTTGATAGCTACTTCAAACCATTTTTGAATCTTCAGTATATATAAGAAAATATACTTCTATCATTTCTGTTTTCATAGTAATCTTTCACACATCTGGGTTTCTACCAAAGTACATTTTCTACTATCTTCATCATGGTTTTTCAGAGTTGCAAGTTATGTGGTTAATTCTCATTGAAATCACATAATCAAAGTGGTAACCCCCCCAAAAAAGAAAGCTTAATTTTCAGCCCTTTATTTGTATTATGTAAATATTTATCATTTGTCCGATTTTGCATGAGAAATATATTTGTGTTGCAATTTCTACCGCTGGTACTGGACTTCTATGTGTTTTAGGGTGCTTGTCTGCTTGGTGGCAGCAAAGTCATGACATGGCAGCTTTCCTGTCTCCTCTTCATTGAGACTGCCTCTCTCCTCACCCAGCTGGCTTTTGTAGCCTCCTGGATGGTGAAACCATAATGTTAGACAGTTCAAGGGTAACTCTAATCACAGGGGGCTAATTTTTTAAAGTCACTTTTTTCTGTTTGAACAAAGAAAATATCTACAAACTTAATTTTACCTTCTATGCCAACTTGCCTTGTATTGGCAATGGTTGAGGAAGATAATTTTAGGAAGTCCAAACTTTAGGTCATTCGTCTACTAATTAACGTGATCACAAATTTAAAATTGTTAGACATTACAGAGATCACCATCAACTGAGCCTGATACTAATAAGTTCTTCCTATTTCGTTGAAGCGGGGGAAAAGATGGAGATGAAAGGAAGGGATGTGAATTTGTAGTTTGGGTTTAATGGATTACGTTATGTAAGGTTCTCTGTAACTCAGTCATTGGAAATCTGGAATACGTTTTCCAGAGTAATGCTGTTAGTGGTGAATGGTTCCTAGAACAGATGTAAAAGCCTGTGTACCTGTAACAGAAGTAATGTAAGGGTTATAGTCTTGAGTCCTGAATCGTAGGAGTTAATAAGCTGATGCTTCCAGGAAAGAGAATAGAAGAAACTGTCCCTTTCATCTGCCATTTATTTACCTATAATATCTTTTCTCCATTAGCCAAGCCCAGCACCTTCCCACACACCACAAAGGAGAGACTAGTAAAACACCAGATTGGAGGCAAGGTAACCATTAACCACCACCCCAGTGAGAGATGAGGACCTAAATTTATTCTGATGCTTCCTTCTAATGCTTAACTGAAATCAATGAGAACGTTCAGTGATGGGGTGCTCCCCACTTCCCTGATGTCCCACGCTCCCAGCTTTAACTGTTCCTTATTCCTTGAATTTTGTCTCCATTTTGCATGTTCCCTTGTAACTGAACGTCCTTCCTCTTGGAACTATTCAAAATAAAATTAATTCTGCAATTTAAACTAGGGGCCCAGTGCACAAGTTTGTGCACCTTGAAAGGAACTTGGGCCATGAGGCTTTGCTCAGCACAGGGGTGGGTCTCAGCACATCCTCAGAACCCCCACCTGGCCCCTTCCACTGTGGCCCCTGGTTCCCTGTCCCACTCCTACCACTGCTGCTCCCACATGCTGACAGCACCAGCCCCGTCATTGGGGTGAGCCTCTGATGGTTACTGAAAATTCTTTGCTCCCACAAGCCACAATCCTGCTGGGCCCCAATCACTCAGTGCCATCAGCGGGTGTGAGTGGTGGCTATGGCCCTGATTGCCCTGAGGGTTTCTCTACCTCCCCCTACTCCTGAGGAGTGATTGGGGCAACAGCTGCTGCTTGCACTGCTGCTGGCACCAGCCCCAATAGTTCCACACCATCAGTGGTTACGAATTAAAAATCCTGCCAATGTCAATATCTGAGTCAGGACAGAACAGGTAGATCTTCCTCCAGAGCCTGTGTCCTTAGTTACCATGTCATAATGCCCTCAAACAGGGATAGGAGTAACTCCAGCTTGTACACATCCTTACCAACTTCAGTCCACTTTAGGAAGAGGGAGAGCAGCTGGTGGAGAGAAGCATTTATGCAAACAATTAGCCCTAAGCTTATATCCTTCATTAATTTTAATATTTTGATTTCTCATGCAAGAAACAAATACTAAGCAAACACTGATTTACCTTCCTTTGGTTCTAGGGCTCCCCCAAATAATATAGAAAACTGTAGATAAAGTGCCATGGAATATTGCAAAATAACAGAGCTACTGGTTGGCTGTCTTCATGTGTTCCATTATTCAGTGAGCCAGGGAAACCCCAGCAGACCAAAGACCATCTAGTTTGGTGTCAAAATTAACTCTATGTAAGAATAGTTATGTGTCAGATCTTCCTCACCTCTCCGAAAGTGCTAGAAAACTTGAATTAAGGTTCTACCTCTACGGCTTTCAAGCTAACACCACCTTGGGATAATTGCATAATTTTTCTTAATTTCTTCAGCTAAAATGCAGATGGTGATTCCCTGTCCAGTTTACCCCACTCTTGCCTATTATTTCAAAAGATAAACTCATTTCTTGCATAAGTAATAGGAAAATTGGCTTTTAAATGGTTTTTAAGATCAGAAATGATTGATTTAAAATATTACCTCAAAAAGACGGAAAAGGTTAGAAAGTAAACAGGTGGGGAACTTAAATTTACACTTTATTCTTATGCTGTTTACATTTAACTAAATCAAGGGTGTATGTTTGAGTGCTATTTCTCCTAAATCTTAGAATGCTTTAGCCATTCTGTGGTATTCTGCAGTTTTCCAGCATTCTTTCAGCAAATATGAAATGGGAACCCATAGTGTGGGTCCATGCACTGAAGTGTCTTGGATTCAATTCCTAGTCAAGGGCAGGTATCTGGGTTCCCTCTCTCTCTCTTTCTCTCTCTCTCTCTCTCTCTCTCTCTCTCTCTCTCTCTCACACACACACACACACACACACACACACTGTAAACACCCTCAAATCTATAAAATAACACACATATGCTATAGTAGAAATTCAGGGATATTGTATATTATCACAAATGGTAGGATTTCCTCATTTTTATGGCTGAATGATATTCCATTGCATATATAGGGATACCTTATAGATAGAATGATTTGGGTCCTGATTACTGCAATAAAGCTATTATCAAAAGGGGGACCTGCCCTGGTTGGGTCTGTCTAGGGCCAGCCCTCAGTGTGTAGGTTCTTGACTTCATGCAGGAAAGATTTCACAATAAATTTTAGAACATTTATTAAAGCTAGTGATACAGGAATGGGCTGGGGAAATGAGTCTAGGCTGCTCTGCTTTGG